TTTTTGAGTCGCCAAGTTATCCGTACCTTCGTTACCATTTTCCTTAAATTTAATTCTTGTCAATAAACAATTTATCAATCCTCTCTTGTCTCTATCTCTCTCAAATCACGTTGATTGCCAACAAAAAATCGGCTTCGAGATGAGTTTGTGGTAGCAAAGTTACATTTTAGGTGTTGACAAAAGTTAAAATGTGAGGTATTTGTTTATAATTAAGTTAGTTCATCGACCTTTCATTCATTTACTATCTGAATTTTCCCAAATAACTTGTTCTTTTACAACGGTGAGCGAGGTTATGTATCCTACTACAAAAACACTTTTGCAAGTACGTTGTATTTGGACATTTGTACCGTAAATTGGACAACAGAAAAAAAGGCCGGAATTCAATGATAAAAACTCGCATGAATTATCTTGAATAGAGGGTATAACTGTATCTAGATCCAAGATAAGATCTTCAGAAAGAATAAGAGTGGAGAAAAAAAAAAAACAGGCAAAGGAGTAGAAAAGCAGAGGGGGCTACTTGTGACTTGCTATAAGCATCTTCCCTCGCATTTTGTTCCTATGTCGCTTCTAGACTAGGGCAATGCTGATAATACGTGACATCACTGGAATTCCGATTACAATCACATGAAGTCATCAGATGTAATCATACTCGCTAATTTATCTTCGTTACTAATTAACGATCTTACCAGAGCCTTGTTGCGCTTTTGGCCTCCATCTTCTCCACTTGAATTTGAAACTCTATCATTTCTGTTTGTATCCCGCACACCAGGCCTTTCTAATAGTGTAGATTGTGTTGTGTTCACACTATAACCATCAGTATTACAAGAGTTACCTTTACAAACCGCTGTTGTTGGCCGTTGTACATGTGTAGTTAGTGGGATATAATCTCCCTGACTTAGGGCTGTGGGCTCAGCACTTGACGGTGTACTTTTAGCAACCTTCGTTGGTGGCTTGGTTACTCTTAATGATATACTTCATGGATCATGCTTGATAAAATCACCTTGGTGGGAATAGACTGAGCTGAAAATTGGAACAATCACATATGTTTTGCCGATAATAATACCATTTTAAGTCAATCATTTTTGTAAATAGTGTATCCCGGCATACTTACAGCGTAACTTGGATGAGTATTTGCAACACTGGAAATAATAAGACAAAACAAAAGTATATTTGTACAAAATACACTGAGAAAAAATACAAATTTTACTCCATTAAGTAACACGGAATACTATATCAGACCGTTATGGAGAATACTCATTTCTGCTAGCAATGAAGGCACCTTTAATCAGGTCCGCAGGTCGTACTGATACGGAGGTCGCAGTAAAACATCTCTGGTGTGGAATGATTCGATCTCGCAGTGATCCGAATTTAATAAAAATTGCCTCGGATTCTCATTCATATGCTCTCTCGAGGGGTAGCCATTTTCTATTTAACTAGTCATTTATCTATTTATTCACCTTGAATAGAACTAGAACTTACCAAATCCCATCATCACAAAAGTGAGGAGTCGTTTCTTTTCTGTATGGATTCCCATATTTTTTGAACTGAAAGGCGTTTAATCCACAGTCAATTAAACGAGCTTAAACGCTGGTCACGATTCGTTTCATCTACGTCCTTCCGGAGGTTACCTATTTACCGAATTAGAATTCCGGATTGGCTTCCAAGTGGGATTTTTTAATTTGGGTTTACAGTAGAATTTCGAGTTCCCTTTACCAATTCAAGTCCTTATGCAGTAGTCGCCAACTATCTGTTTTCAATCGCTGGACAATGAAGCCATCAGAAATTGTGTTTTATGTGAATATGAATATAAACATGAATATATCTTAACAAACGCGTTGGCTTGTGGTATCGCTGAGCACTTTTAAGAGCTGTGCCCTGTTTCCATCTTGTATACCAGCGCATCAGTTATTGTGTTTTTACATCGCCCAGGTGCCTGTGTGTCGCAGTCGCTTGAAAAGCGATCGAAAAGCGATAGTTGGCCGCTATTGCTTAAGAACTCAACATCGCAACATAAATAAAATTTTGAAATCCAAATCGACATCCTAATTCAGAAAATAGGTAACCTCCATCCCGTCATACGTGAAGTTCTTACAAAAATAAATTATGAAAATTAATAATAGTCAATAGACGTCTTCCTAGGCGTTACTGACAAAATGCCAGACTAACTGAGGCTCAACCATTTTTCAGTGCCTAGAACGCCAGCTTCGCAAAAAATGATATATTTTTCTCCAATCAAGAAGTAAAAAAAACAGGCCGCAGTTTCATCTGTGACATATCTTAGTAAATATAACATACCTTTAATCGAGTGTCGACTTTAAATGAGCTACACATAAAGGGAAGAGTGTCAGCTTTAGAGCGAGAACTTACGCTCAGTCAGTTTCACCTGTTCAATTTTATAAATTGATGTGAACACTTTTATCCATATGATATACGATATGCGATATACAATGTACGATCACTCTTAATTATTTGATTGTAAGTATAAAATAAAGTGCATGGCATAACTAGTTTTATGAATAAAGAGGGTAAATTTCTAACGAAACTGTGGTGCTGCGTCGGTGGGGGTAACAAGGTAATTTGGTAAAATCAACTAAGTTGAAATTGTAAATTGGCCTCCGTAAAGGGTTAAAAAGCTGACGTTTCGAGCGTTAGCCCTTCCTCTTTCGCTCTGACGAAATGAAATGCCTCGGTCTCAAAAATTTAGTTATGTAGTAATTTGTAATGAATTAATGTTACCAAAAGGATGACTAGGACAGGTCCTGTGAATTTCCAAACGCTTCCGTTGAGCCAGCATCTGAAAGAATTACCAACAACACCATTTTATTTAAATTCATGCAAGCACGGTAGCTTTTTTGCTAAAAGTGCATTAACTACTATGTAGATTCCATGAATTTTTACCTTTTTCTGTCCACTGTACCCGTGAATTTGAGTGCTCCACAGTTCACTTCTTTGTACAGAACTTTACCCATGTCGTAAGTTGACGGCTGGATTGCTGCCACCAAACCAACAATCACTCCTGGGATACCTGTTCATTAGAAGGGACAAGCCATTACAATTTTCGAAGAAATAAATTTTTTTATCAAAATAAAGTAAAGCAATAATCCTCGCAGATGAGCTGCACCCAGTTAACAGTTGCAGGAAAGAGGCCTTCAACGGGAATCCAACCTATGTCTCCCTCATACTACCTGTGCACTACCACCAACTGAGCGAAGAAGCCACAAGTTGCGAGCAAGGCAAATTTTGGATACACCTCTTTCAAGAGGAGGAATCGGTTCACAGTTTTTTTTTACAGAAAAAAATTTAATTTGACCCCTACTTTACCCCATCCCAACAAGGCGTATATCAAATATGGTTTTCCAAAATTGAAAACCTTCACCATCTTCAAATAAAGGTTTATTCCTTCAACCAACATCCATGTGTAAAGAGAAGTGTGCAGATAGTGCTGGATGACGGCATAGATGGAGCACATGATCTGTGAGAAAAAAAGGTGGATTGGATCAAATTGGGTTCCAATTGGTGGGAAAGAGATCTTTCAACTGCTTATCTACTTTATGTACTCACTTGGTGCTTTTTCATCAATGTGAGGATCTTGATGTCAACTATATAAACCACTTGTCCAAGAGCCAGTGAAACGAGAAGATTCTTGTGTAAGAAAATCCTCTCTGATCTTGAAACTCTGCCAGATTTTAAACAAATGTTGAACGCTGGACCGTTTACCATCATGATATACATTAGGGGTTGAATTTTCCATGATATACATGTTTTATCATTTTCCTTACAAACCGCAAGAAAAGCAAGAAAAAAAAAATCATTACGTCGGGTCTTTTTACGAGTTATGTAACGCACACATTACCACTGAAACATAAAACGACCAAGAATTTTCCTGACCGCATCTCCCTGATGGGATGTTTGTACATGATGCTCCTCCGCTTCCTATAGCAGTTTAACAATCCTGCATTCCTCGCACCAACCACGACTTAGCCACTGTATCCC